GATGTGGGCACAATAGAGGGGAGCAACAGGCTACAGTTGGACCTAGATAGGTTACAAGGATGAGGCCTTCATGGTGAGGGAGGGAGTGGGGCTGGGGCAGGGGTAGAGACAGGTGCTGCCCAGTCATGGTGGGGCGGGGTGTGGGACAGAGCTGTGGGTGGCTCATCTGGGGGTTGGGGGAAGGGGGTAGCTCTCACTGCTGTGCACATCCCTGGTGGAGGTATGGGGGGGCATGTGTGCCCCAAATCTGTGCACAGAATGAGGGCAGGCTGTGTGCTCGAGGCTGGGGTTGAGCCTGTGCCAACCTCTTCCCAGCAGGAGAGTGTGCCGGGGCTGTTCTTGGAGCAGGTAGCGGTGGCTCTGGAAGAGGGGTTACAGTGAATTTTCGGGTGGCTGTAGCCCCCCTCCCAACACTGTCACCACCACCCAGCCTGAGCACAGCCCCTGCCCAGCCTGGCACAACCCCAGCCCCGAATGCACAGTGGGCCTGCACACAGATCTGGGGGTATGTGCCCCCGTACCTCCTCCAGGGTGCACACAGTGGTGGAAAACCTCCCTTTCCCCCCCTTCCCCCAAATGAGCTGCCTGCAGCTCCGTCCTGTGCCCTGCCTCACCACGGTTGGGCAGCATCTGCCCCCGCCCCACTCCCTCCCTCAGCATGGGGGCCTCGATCTGCACCCCCATGCCCCTTCCCCCTTCCACAGACTTACCAGTCAGACTCTACTTTCCAAGCTGCAGGGCTGAATATCGGCAATTGGCTAGTCAATAATTGGCCATCAGTATTGGCCCAAAAAATCTTTACCGGTGTACCCCTATTTGTAATAAATCTAATGCAGCTGAAGTTGGCTGGTATAAGACTTAGACATCAGTACTTATTCGAAGATTATTGGCCATAGATTTTTACTGCATCCTAGTACCTATTTCATGCTTAGCATTCTTTGCATGTTAGGAAGAGAATACACTTGCGTACCCCACTGCAATGTGAAACTATGCATTTTTATTTCACTTTCACGCAACTTTTGTTGTTGGCTGTTGGAGCACAGACACGTAAGGGCCCATTACTTGAAGTTTCAAGTTCAGTGCGCTTGCTTTCCTTTAGAACAGCGGTTCTCAACCTTTTTTGTACCAGGACCCATTTGTAAACATCAGTGGCCAGTCCTGACCCAGTGTTAGTCACTGCCAACTGCTGTCCCCCAGGCCCCAGCCCTCTTATGTGTGGGGCACTGGGGGGGAGGGGAGCAGTGCGTGGGGCATGAGGGGGCTCCAAGCAGCCCCTCACAGGCTGGAACTCTGCCAGCCTGCAAGGGAAAAGCCACTTTCAGTTTGTTGATGACCCTTTTAATACGCTCGTGTGACCCACTTTTGGGTCGTGACCCATGGCTTGAGAAACGCTGCTCTGTAAGACGGTAGAAAAATTTAAGCTTTAAGTTCAGTGCACGCACACTTTCATTTTAAGACTCTTTATATAAAAATGACAGAATTGTAAAATTATGTATGTGGGTAGCAAACCTCAGAACTCGCAGGGCTGAGGCGCAGCAGTTTGTGAAGAGGATGTATAATGCGCTGCCGTTTTCTTGTAAACAGTTTTCTGGTTGGCTTCTCCTGACACGCCCCTGACAGGACTTATGGGTATGTCAAGAGAAGACATTCACACTCAGAAAAATAAATTCATAATGGAAGAAATTATAGAGACGCTCCTAGTGTGCGAGATGAGAGTTTTGTTGAAAAGATTAACACTTCTGTATTTCCCAGCCCTCTGTCACTGCTTGCTGTAGTGGTGCCAACCAGGATCTCAGTAATTACTGTATATTCACACGGTATCCTTCATCCCGAAGGATTGCAGGGTACTTTGCAAATGATATCTGTACATCTCTGCCACTGAAATCCCCTGATGTCTGGATGGCAGGAAGTTCTAAGTAGATAAGTAGTACACAGCAAGGTGCACAGCTGGAGAAAATTTAGAGCCTGGACACTGGAAGAGAATTCAGGGCTTTTACAGAGGTAGAATATCTCCTCCCTCATTGCTAGTGAAGGAAAGAAAGCATTGTATGAGAGAACTGCCTGTAGAAAATTGTAAAGCTTAAGCTGTGGCACAGAACCCTCATGCAAACTTAAGACTCTCTCACTACCCTTGCTAGCAAGTTTTAAAAAAAAAAGAGAGAGCAAGCTATAGTGTTTTAAGCCATAGGCTAAACTTAGACTGCCCCAACACAGGTACACGAGAGGGTTGAGAATAAAGGCTTTATGTTCAGGTTCTGACCAACTCATTGTGACTAGGGCACAGCCTTTGACTGTCCACACTGGAAAACTAATGAGAGGTTCAAATTTGTAGTTAAAACGGTGTGACTTGGAAATACGGAATAGCTGCTAAAAGGTACCACAAAACGAGTGTTTTTTAGCCAGTGCAGATGCTTGCAACTCTTGAAATAAAGCTGTCGATAACATTCATCATTTTTACTTGCATAAGGGTTTTTACAGCATTACTGTCTTGAGTAAATCACAATCTAATGTACTTTGTCATGTGTGTTCCTGCTTAGATACAGATATGGTCATAATTTACCTCTCGGCTGGGATTACTTCAAAAGATTCCTCAGAGGATGATAAAAAGGCTACTCTGCGTGTCATCAATGAAGAAAATAGTTTCCTCAATAACTCAGTAATGATTCTCACTTATGCACTTATGAATGGTAAGACATTTTTGCTGCATTAAGGAAAGATGAAAGTCCTCTTCTTGAGTATTGCAGGCTTATTAAATCCAATTAAGCATGTTTTTCTGTCTGGGGAATTATTAATGAGTTTTGGCCCTTGGATTCCATAGGCTATTCCCCACATGTAAGAATGTTTCCCATTTGGGAGATGATAAAACTACTTGCAAATCAAACCAACACTGCAACATGCTGAACTGCAGTTTTGCTGCATTTTGTAGTGTGTGTTAATTTGTAATAAGGTGGGAGCCTCAATTGAAAATAAGTTCATTCCTTTCTTCTCTGTAATGGATGCAGCATATCTCTTTCAGAGGGAGTGACCGGTTTAAAAGAACTGGCGTTTCTCCGAGATCTGGCAGAGCAGAACTCTGTGAAGTATGGAGTGCCTGATCGAATTGCCTTGCCTGTGATCAAGGGGAGCATGATGGTCTTAAACCAGCTGAGTAACCTGGAAACCACAGTTGGTCGATTTTACACTAACCTCCCCAACCGAATGATTGATGAAGCCGTCTTCAGTCTGCCCTTCTCAGATGAAATGGGAGATGGTGAGTGCTTAGAAAAACCTGAAACAGAGTGGGGTAAAACAGAGGTTATCTTCCCCACCTTTGACCACGTTGGATTTATACCTGACTTACAAGCGGGTGTTTTTAGGTCTCCCCTTAAGGCAACTGCAAAGTGAATCCCTTTGTGCAGGGAACACATGTAAAATTTTAACATCTGTTATGGAAAGTATGGGTAATATGACATGGAATGAATTTAGACTGTACTTTCAAGAGGAAAATTCTTTTGCGGACACCTCCATATTTGGCCTCTGTAATTTGAGTTTGTGTAGGAAACTGCACTAAATTTGAGGATTAGATTTTGGGGCTAAAATGATAGCCACATGCCTCTGCATTCCAGCAAGCCCATCAGGCACTTGCTTATGGCCTGAGCTGGCCCTGTAACAAGACCACAGGTGTTGGTATGGCATCATAATGGAGGAGGAAAGTGCCTTTCTGATGGTGAAAAGATGAGCCATCCCTCTTTGTACTAAAAGAAGCAGGACCATAACTTCCTGCGTGGTGGTCCTACTGTCCATTATCACCAGGGTGGGGTTGGTCCTGGAGTGCTCCCAATCAGTAGATGATTGGGAGTATTCTGGGGCTCAAGCCATGGAGCATTCCCAGTCGGCCAGTTGTCAGTTGATTGTTGGCCAGCTCCAAGGACCATATAGGGGCTTGAACCAGCCCTGTGGATTCCCAGGGCCAGCTGACAAATCAGCTGATTGTCATGCACACAAGAATAATGATCCTGGGCTGCTCCTGCACTGGCAAGTATGGTGCAATTTGGATCTCATCCTCCATCCTAAAATTGCACCTTCTACCACTCACCTGTGGCATGGCAAGAGGCTCAGTTGTTGGGATTGTAATTAGATCCTGTTGCATCTTCATATTAATACCTATCAGTGGTCTAAGGCATATAATTATGGCTGTCTAATCATGTGACTCATTTAGTGAGCAGGAGGAAAATCTAAATGCATTTTCAGCTGCCCCTTCTCAATCTTCTATCAGCTGCTCGTATCCTATGGAACGCATCTACAGTTTTATGCTACCAGCAGCAGGTATAAAATGTAGCTGCACAGTGGTGTCAGTGAGAGATGTCAAAACTTGTATTAGCTTTAAAGCTGTTGTTTAATTATGTGCTGCAGGTATTGCCAGCATATAGAACTGACCCAAGGGGGTGCAGGGCCCGGGGCAAATCAGCTTGTGTGGGGGCCCCCCTTAATAGTGCATGGGGCCGTGGTACCCCCACAAAGGGGAGTCCCCGTGCTGCTTCTGCAGCATGGGGCTGAGCTGCCAGCTCCAGGCCAGCCCCATGTCTCCACCCAGCTCCGTGGGCCCCCCAAAACGTGGAGCCTGGGATGGTTGCCCCACTTAGCCATGCCCTAGGGATGGCTCTGCCAGCGTATGGTCTCTATCACTGGCAGTGCTTCTTGAATCGAGCACTTTACTGGGACACCATATTTGTCTGTCCTAAGGAGAAAAATGCCATAAAGCCTTAACTTGCAAGTTTTGAACAAAGTAAAAAAACATGTATTTTCAGTAAAATACTTAAAATTGTGTGTTCTGAAGAGAAGCCCACTTACAGGCCTGGTCTTAAATTTTATTTCTAAGTCTTGGAATCTGTTTTTGCAAAAAAAAACCCCTCCATCCTGGTGCAGTGTACGGCCTGGAAAATTAACCTTGCTAGATGGATGGAAGGGTCTTCTTGTCATTGAGGTAAACCTGATCCAGTTTTCACTTAGCACATGCTCTGTGTTCTGTATTATTAATTATGTGGAGACTTTGTTTACTGCTAATTTACTGTGTTATTCCTCTTATACTAAGGTCTGATAATGACTGTAAGTAAACCATGTTACTTCGGAAACCTGCTGCTAGGGATTGTTGGTGTGGATGTTAACCTTGCATATATCTTGGAGGATGTCACCTATTACCAAGATTCTTTGGCCTCATACACGTTTCTCATCGATAACAAAGGTAATTTTGTAATTCAGATACTATATATAAATATGCTATCTTCCTGTTCCACTGAAATAGGAAGCCAACTCTTAATTCTGATCCTGATTTATAAGCATAGGAGGTAGGATGACAGTAACAGTGCATGATGTAGATTATTAAAAGATTAGCACCAGTTGTTTGATTGTCTAACGGTAATTGCCAGCCAAACTGAAAATGTAAGTGTATATATAGTTTGGAATTATAATTATTATAGATCTATAGATCAGTCGTGATATGGAATGTTTCCTATTGCTGAAATAGATTTTCCACATTGTAGGCTAAAAAAGCAAAACTAACATTTGAAAAAAGAAAAAATTGTTTTTAGAGTTCTTTACATTTTTTCCTGCAATCCCAAGTGCTTCTGTTAAAGCCTATATCACTGAGTCGTGGTTTGTTTTCAGTTAAATTACTGAGCTTTTAGGATTTTAAAGATCTGTTGGCAGTAATCTGATTCGTTACACGATAATATGTTTACTTTTGTATGATGATTTTTTTAATTAAACAGAACTCTCACATATGCAGCCGCACTTCTTGTCCTTGTTTTTATCTACATTTAGCATTTCCTGAATGAACATTTGCACTAAAACCCCATTTCTGCTCGTTTTAGGGTACACGCTTATGCATCCATCCCTTACAAGGCCTTATTTGCTGTCTGAACCACCACTTCACACAGACATCATACATTATGAGAACATTCCCAAATTTGAATTGGTCCGCCAAAACATCCTTAGGTAAGGAAGTGAGGCTGAAGTTGTTGCTTACAATAAGAGTTTGCAGAAGCCAAAAGCATTTGTGCAAAACATTAAAAGGAGTTACGTTCTTGAATTACTCTTCCTGTATTTAGTGGTTTTAGTATCCAGAAATCCAGTCTGAATCAAAGTCCCATCTTTGTTTATACAGGACGGCTTTTTCTATCATTTTATCCATTCCATCTTTAATATGCCAAGCAGCAGTTTCTACATGTTCCCTTGAGAGACTCTTCTTATCCAGTATTGCTCGTGATCAGGAAGTTTACCTAGGGATTCAGTTTGGATTGTCCTTTTCTCTGTTTCCATCAGAATTATTAGTAACCCTCAGTAGTTCCTTGCTTTCTCAGGGTTTGTAGGTATTTACAATACTGTCCCAAACCTCTTAGCCATTATAATACCACATGTCTATTTGATACTAGAAATATTTTCTTAGTCTCTCTAGATTTCTGTGCCATGGCCCTGTTGTAATTTCTTCCATATTCTCTAGCTATTTGTTACCTTTTGAATAGTGAGGTGCCAAGAACTGAAGCCCTGTTTTATTTCCAGTAGGATTGCACCAAACTGTATAGGAGGGCCTGCCTCACAGTCCACTGAAGTCAGTGGAAATCTTTCTGTTGACTTGAGTGAGAGTTCAGTCAAACCTATGGCAAGGAGCTCTCTCTTCCTTGCTTCATGATGAAAATAACTTTTGTGTGTGCAGTTTTACCCTTCCTTTGCTCGAGTTCTTTAGAAGTTGAATTAGATGTAACAATACTTGATCTAGAGAGAGATGATATGTCTTTGACTGATCATGTTGTTAACCCAGGTGTGCTTTGCTGTCTATCTGCATCCCTTTCAGAGTTACTGCTCCCCAGTATTCTGCCTTCCACTAGCTATTTGCACTTTGCATTATATTCCCTGCCGAATATACAGCAAAAGCTGTGTTAACCGGCATTCTAGTAACCGGAATACTCTATTAATTGGAGTTTCCAGCCGGCCAGACACAGGGGGGTGGGGAAGCTTGCACACGGCAGCCGCTGCCACTACTCACCACCCTGCGCTGGCACCGCTCTGCTTGCAGCTGCCACCACCCCCGCTCCACATCCAGCCGAAAACCCCTGCCTCAGGTAACCAGAATTTTTAGATAACTGGCACCCCCCACCCCCTTACCCAACTCATGCTGGATAATAAAGCTTTTACTGTACTAGCTTGCATTTTTTATCATTGCATCTCGGTCTGTTTTCTGCTGTTATTTCTAAGCTTCAAATTCAGAATGTCCTAATTAAAAAT